ATTGAAACAAAGCTTTAACAGCAGAATTAATATTTGGTGAGGAGAAAAACTTTAAAGAAAACCACATCCCCCCCCCTTTATATAACCATGATCTAATTGCACATCATAATTTTTAATGCAAGTCTCGGTAGTTTACATCATTACCATTTATTTCCTTTTTATCAGTTAGGCTTAAGCAAGACAGAACTTCCATTCAGAAAGGACATAACCTAGCATTTATAGCTCACATGTCTACAACTTAAGTTAGCTTCAGACAGGGTAAACATTAAACACAAGAAGGGACCAAGACCATTAATACCTTGGGCTAGGCATCCCTGCAGAACACCAAACCTCTTTATACCTATTGACTCTAACTAAGTATGGTTAGAGTCAATAGGTATATATTAGGTACCCCCTGCCCGAATATCTATAATCAATTCAAACTTTGTAAAGGGTTGTAGACTATGAAAGTATCCATGCATCAGTTCAAGCTTCAACTCTAGGGGCAAGCAGTAGCCCTTCAGTAAAGCCTACAAACAGCTGCCCAGTACCATGTAGGAAAAATCCACAACCAGAAACAGCTAACACAGAAAAAGCTGATCTAGTTCCATCTAGATTAAAGCTTTAAAATATCAAAGCACTGGGCCCACCCAAATGTTTTACAAAACTTTGCATACAAATGTCTACCATTGGATTGCATTGGTGAGACCAGTTTTTCAAAATACATGGATTAGCTAAAATCCCTTAACACTTGTCTACCACAATCCTCTTCCTCTAGAGTCAAAAATCTCTGAGACTACAACCTGGATATCTGAGGATGCTGCCTGAGGCTCAGGATCCAGACATACAGGCTGCATTTGATTTATAAATGTCTGGTGTAGATTAAAGGGTCGTAGACTCTCCTTCCATGATGTGCTTATATCTGTGGAGAATGATTTCATCAAAGGTCAGAAGGACAACAAGTTAAGCAGCTTCACATTTACAAAGTGCATTTTAACTGGATTTATTCTTGTTGATCGATAAACACTTGTTTAATATTTATCAGTATTGTGGAAAAAAAAATAGTTCTGAAGCCTGCTTCAGTTTGATCTCGTAGCAGAATGACATTCCTATTTTATACTCATTATCTAAGGATATTATTTTTTACATGTATTTATCTGTGGATGTGGTGGGGGGGCTAGACTACAGATAGACTTGGGTTCTCTCTACTTTTCTGCCTTTGGCCTTACAAGTTGCATAAGACACTTGTTACATGGGACAGAACGTGACACAGTGATGGTAATAAGACTGTGATTAGAACCTGGAGACATGGCTCAACCGCTAAAAGCGATTGTTCTTGCAGAGAACCTGGGTTCAACTCCTAGCACACGGAAGTGGTCCACCACACTCTATTACTCTATTTCTAAGGGATCTTATCCACTCCTCAGACCTCCATGGGCCCCAGGCATGAACATAGTACACAGAAATACATGCATACAAAACACTTGTTTCTATAAAATAAAATAAATCATTTTAAAAAGATTACAGTTATACCTTAACATCTAGAATGTCAGTCTTAACCCTCATCCCTTTCACAACAAGCCACTTTAGAGTAGAATCCTGACAGAGAAAAGTCAATACTAGATTCTCTAGCATTTTGACAGGAGAAAAAAAATAAATAAATAAAACCAGTTCTAGTAGATGTAAGTGAGGTAATGCAGGCCCAAATTTTTAACCCTCTGTATGTAAAAGTTATGAATGCTGGATGCGGTAGGGAATCTATCACACAACTTCTAACTTGGTCTTCAGGGGAAAGCAAGCATTTTGGCGGGCAAAGCAGCTCTGCAGCATGTTATCCCTGAAAAAGTCCCCTCTGGTTTGGGTTACCCTTTTAAACAGTACTATATATTTCACCGTAGAGATACCAGCACTGTCCGTGGGAAACATGCAATCTAGGGAAGTAGCATGTCTGAGGGGAAAAGAGCAGGCCTGTCTGATGAAGAGGCTTGAGCTTATCTTTACTCGGATCCATCAGTGAGCAGCCATGTGACCAAAAACCTCTCCACCAAAATAACTCACGTTTTTCATTTAGGATACTGAAGACCTGGATAAATGTAGTCACTTTCATATCCAAAAAAACCAATGATGGTGACATTTCTATAGAGTTCTCAGTGGAGGTAGATCCTGGAAGTGAAATGTACTGTAGGACCTGGGAAAGGCCCCTGTCTAACTTCATACTGTACATAGGGTACAGCTACTTCCTTGTTCGGATGTGAAAGCAGCCAAGGTTTTAGAGAGTGGGTTATCCAGGGCTTCGGAGGGGCTCAAACACCCCCTTCACATCCTAATAGGATAAAGTGTATGCATAATTCTGTGTGACCCTTCAACTACTGACGTTCACGCCATGTTACTGTTGGAATTGCATGTTAAGCAAGCAAATTTTCAATGAACTCTCGCTGGCTGTACCACAGACACAGATGTCAGGCGGACTCCTTTGTTCATAAGGTTCTCATTATTAGCTCAACCCGAGCTGAATATTTGACTGAAGGAAAAGACCATATCATTATTTTCAGATTTCATTCTATGACTTAACTGGGCTACATCTGCCAGCTTCAGAAACACCAAGTGCTGATTGGCGCCAGCCTTGGCGTTCTCTTCTGTGACTATTACCCCAAATGTCTCAGCCCGAGGAAGCCTCCTCACCATCAAAACAATGTAATAAAAACGAAAATTCTGATTAAGAGTTACTCATCAATTGACAGGGTATGCCACGCTAGTGCTATTTATGAATTATACCCCATGAGTTTTAGGACGAACAAACAGACTCTGCATTCACAAATGGGCAAACTAGAAAGCCAGTAACCATTTTCATGATTTATGAGCTCTGTGTTATACTTGAAACCATATTTCTTTAATACGTAAATTGGCATGCCTTTGAATAACTCAATCTGCTTTAAATCTATTCTAAGGCTCTGGGCAGCACAAGGGAGATTTAAAATACTTATATTTAATTCTTCTACTCATCTTTGGGCCATCTCTCAGCATACAGATGATAGGAAGCTACAACGTAAGAATACTTGTCAAGTATAAGTCAGAATGCATTGCAATCCTGACACCAAAGCCATTTAGAAAAATGACACAAATCACACAAATTTCAATCATAAACCATTTTATAAGCCCACTAAAATGTACATTAAAACAGCATAAAGGAATAATGGCTTCCATGTGTCTGGGCATCATCATTAATAATGCCAATCAGCAAGGATAACTTGAAATCACCTTTGCTGATGATTAGAAAAGGCATTTCAGGGGCTGAAGAGATAGATTAGTGGTTAAGTGTACTTATTGCTCTTTCATTAGAACCTGAGTTTGGATCCAAGAACCCAGGTCAGGTGGCCCTTACATGCCTTTAACTCTATATCCAAAGAATCTTTTGCCCTTTTCTGGCTTACTCATACACACACACACACTCACACACAAACACTAAAACAATAGGTAAATAGATAGATAGATAGATAGATAGATAGATAGATAGATAGATAGATAGATAGATAGATAGAAAGGTGGATAAAGCAAGTCTGTCTTTCTATATTAGAAGAAACTGGGGTTCATGATATAGTTGCTCCAAATGCCTGGGAAAATGGCCAGTTTTCTACATGAGAGTCATATGCTTAATGAAGCTGCTTTATTCTTTCAGTATCTTGCAGAATCTTAGAACAGGAGGACCTAAGAGAACTTACCCTATATTCCACCCCATGTTTTATGTTTGCTTGTATTTATTTATTTATTGGTTTGTTTTTGGTTTTGGTTGGTTGGTTAGTTTAGTTTTTTTGAGACAGGGTTTTCCTGTGTAGCCTTGGCTGTCCTGACTTTGTAGACCAGGATGACCTCAAACTCACAGAGATCCACCTGCCTCTGCCTCCCTGAGTGCTGGGATTAAAGGTGTGTGCCACCATGGCTCCAACATTTTAAATACATCTCAGACAAATGGTTCTTCAGCCTCTTGAAATGCCTGTTTTTAGTTCATCATTAAGTACAGCAATCTGGTTCTCTAATTGGCATTTCTAATCCCAAGAACATCTTCAAAAGAGCAAATCAGCAAGTAACTTCTGAAACTCTCATACTGGGTGGTACCAGTCTGGTTTAGAACTTTGGGCTCCTATTTGCATTATGCTTCTATATCAGGCACCTGAGACTGAAGGTTCAACTAATTCTTCTCTCTTGGGGCTTTCTTCTCTGACTATTTTCAATGACTAGGAACTTCACTATCTGGTTCACATTAGTGTTTACTAGTAACTTCTGCAAGGTGGCATTCAGATACGATCTAACTAGTTACAGAGCCAGTGGGACTCATGCTTCATATGATACCAAATTAAAATTTTTATAACAACAGACTATTTGTGCAACAGACTTGTGACCACACTATTTGTGTTATGAAATGTTAATTGCCCTCTCCCCCATCCCCAGTCATGGTGGTCTTTGAATTAGGAATGAGAGTCTTTGAGGTTGATTAGACGTTGAGAGTCCATCCCTCAGGAATGAGATTTTTTTTTTTTCATGAACAAAAGGCATGAGAGCTCATTTAGCTTCCTTCTCCACAAGCTGAACACAAGCAGAAAATGATTCTCTGAATTCCAGGACGGGACTCTCACCTGAGTCTAACCATGATCTTCACCCTGCAGCTTCTAGAACTATCAGAAATAAATTCTCTTGTTTAAAAGCTACCCAGTCTGCATGGTATAAAAAGAGTAAACAAATAAATAAAAGCTACCTAGTCTCATGCTTTTTTATTGCCACAAAAGAACAGATTCAAAACATCCTGTGAAAATTTAGACTTTTAAGAAGATATAAAACAGGCAGAAAATTTATATTAATAGTAACCTAGCGGGGGAAAAAAAAAAACTGCATGAAATAAAATGCTCCAGTTACGCTAAGTCCATGAATACAGTAAAGGTTGAAAAACACTTCTAGAAAGTATCACAAAGTTTATCCCAAAATGTTAGTATGAAGTGACTGCATTTTAAGTTTTTTTTACAACTTACCATGTTGTATGTCTTTCATATCTAAGTGAAGACTAGACATTAGAATTCCTACTGCTTGTGATCTTTTGTTGCTAAGCAACTTGACAACCTGTTCAGGAAAGAGGAAAATGAGAAACATTAACTTAAACTCTAATACAATGAGTAACATTTTAAAATCCTAAGTGAATCTCAGTCCTGTTCTCTGCACTTTCTTTATAATCTGCAGTTTCTCTTGCATGATAACTACACCCCAGTCACTCAGCAGCTTCCTGCTTTCCCAAAAGTTATCTCCTTTAAAATTAGCTACATAGTCTCTATCTGGCCAAGCTCCTAAGAATTGGCCAAACGTCCAGCCAATGTCTCCTTCTTAACTTTATATCTCAGAATAAGGGAACCACTATTCTCCATCCTTCTACAAAAGCTAAAAAACCAGGTATCAATCTAGATAGTTCCCTCTCCTCTGTTTGTAGAAAATAGCAGGCAGGAATCAAGTCAGTCAAGGGTAATTTTCCTGTGTCTTCTGAAGCTGTGCTCTCCATCTCAATGCCAGCATTGACTTCTATGTTACATTTTGCACAGATCAAAGCAAAAAGTCTGTACTTGATTCCCCCAGTTTGGTTCAGTGTTCTTTTTATTTTTTAATATTTTTGTTGTTGTTGTTGCTGTTAAGTGTTCTTTAACTGGCTTCTTTACACAGTGGTTCATGACCTTCACCACAAAATATAAAAATGTAGGTTCCCTGGGCTGTAAATGAAACCCACTTACTAGGAAATCTGGGGATACGGTATGATCACTATTTTGAGAATCTCCTAAACAATTCTAGTATCACGGATAGAGACCCATCCTTCCCATTCACCCCCCACACCTAGGTCCAATATCCTTCTAAAATGCTGGAATCTACTTGTTGTTCTTTGATTTTTAACCTTTGTGAGTGTGATTGGCTCTTGTTTAGAGAGGAAGCTCCATAATTCCTTCCCAAAACTTGCCCTGTCTATTTTGTTTTAGAAACGCTTGATTCCAAGCTTTAATGCACATTCTAATAAATAAGACAGTGGAAATAATTACTGGCATCAGCCAGAAGAGAACAGAAGAAGACAGAACTCTTAAAGAACAGACGTCACAGTCCCTCAGTGTAATAAAACCAATGTCTGAGTTATGAATCTCTTCATCTGTCTTTATCCAACATCCTGGAGAACAAGAATCCAAAGTTCTCGAGCTGGAACATCCTTAGAACCCAGTGAGCAAAGGTATGAGAGAAAGACACATAGTCAGATCCTCAAGGACTCAGCCAAAAAGTAAAAACACAGAACTAACACATCTGAAAACCACAGAATTAGGCCATACAATCAGAATTTTAAAAGGATTCAGTTAATGGCCTTACAACAATGATTTCCTAAGACTTCCCCAGTAGGAAGGAAGGCTGTAGAGATTAAGAACATAGACTCTGCATAAACAAAGCAGTTTGCCTCGCCCTGTAATTGCACTGAATTATCCGGGATCTTCTGAAAAAAGATTCCGAGTCCCAAGTCGGCCCAAGCTACCAGATGATGCCATTCCAAAGTTCTCCTATTTCCACCCTAATACATTCTAGAAGACAACTCCAATACTATAGTACTATAGGGCCAACTATTCACAAACGAAACAAAACAAAACAAAGAAACTGACAAGAATGACAACAACAAAAACTGTAGCAGCAAAAGCAGCAACAGCAGCAGCAGCAGCTTCAGAAAGCTGTGGTGGGACTGGCCAAGTGCTGAGGCACTGGGACCGCAGCAATGTGCCTTGGAAGCAGCGTGTGTGTGAATAACACTAAGAGGAAACTGTGGGAAGCTAAATGTACAGCACAGATATAGTTTGGCATCTCTCATCTCAGAGGGATCCACACCATCCACTGAGTATTAATTCAAATACTACACTAAGGGAGAAAACAGATACATGTATTACTTCATTTAATTCTACAAAGGGATTACTGTATTTTTCTTCTGCTCCTGTAATTAAAAAAAAAACAACAAACAAACAAACAAACAAACAAAAAACATCAGACACCTATGAATGGAGAGGAATCCTTTGGTAGTTGTAAATGGTGCGTTTTGTTTTTTTGGTTTTTTTTTTTAGATTTTTTTAATTTATTTTTAAATCTATTACAGTTTATTCACTTTGTATCCCAGCTGTAGCTCCCTCCCTCATCCCCTTCCTTGTGCTCTCCCAATCCCACCCTCCTTTCCTCTTCTCCTCCCATGCTCCTCCCTAGTCCACTGATACCAGTGGTCCTCCTCCCCTTCCATCTGACCCTAGCCTATCAGGCCTCATCAAGACTGTCTGTATAGTCTTCCTCTGTGGCCTGGTAAGGCTGCCTGCCCCCCCCCCCCTTAGGGGGAGGTGATCAAAGAGCCAGCCACTGAGTTCATGTCAGAGAAAACAACTGTTCCCCTTATTAGGGAACCCACTTGGACACTGAGCTGCCATGGGCTACATCTGTGCAGGGGTTCTAGGTTATCTCCATGCATGGTCCTTGGTTGGAGTATCAGTCTCAGAAAAGACCCCTGGGCCCAGATATTTTTTTTTAATTTTATTTTTTTCTTATCAGTTACATTTTATTAACTCTGTATCCCAGCCTTGTCCTAATCCCTCATTCCCTCCCAGTCCCTCCCTCCCTCCCTCATCTCCACCTTGCCCCTTTCCAAGTCCACTGGTAGGGGGGACCTCCTCCCCATTCATCTGATCTTGTTTTATCAGGTATCTTCAGGACTGGCTGCAAAGCTATCCTCTGTGGCCTAACAGGACTGCTCCTCCCTTGGGGGGTGGGGAGGCCAAAGAGCCAGTCATTGAGTTCCTGTTAGAAATGGTCCTTGTTCCCCTCACTATGGGAAACCAATTGGTTACTGAGCTACCACAGGCTACATCTGAGCAGAGGTTCTAGGTTATATCCATACATGGTCTTTGGTTGAATGTCAGTCTCAGAAAAGACCCTGTGCCCAGATACATTTGGTCCTTGTGGAGCTCCTATCCTTTCCCCATCAGACTAACTCCCCTTCTTTCTTATGATTCCCTGTACTCTGCCAAAGGTTTGGTCATGAGTCTTTGCTTTGAAAACACTGCTAGTTAGAGTCTTTCAAATGCGCTCAGTAGACTCCTGTCATACGTTCAATGCACATCCCATCTGTCTTTCTAAACGAGGATTGATCATCTTACCCCATGTCCGCTCTCTTGATTATCTTTTTTAGGTGTACAGATTTCATTATGTGTATCACACCTTATAGGTCTATATAAGTGAGTATATACCATGTTTGTCTTTCTCAGGGCCCAGATATTTTGATTCTGTTGTTCTCCTTATGGAGCTCCTGTTCCCTCCAGGTCTTTCTATCTCCCCTTCTTTCATAAGATTCCCTGCACTCTGCCCAAAGTTTAGCTATGAGTCTCACCATCTGCTTCCATACCCTGCTGGGCAGAGTCTTTCAGAGGCCCTCTGTGGTAAGCTCCTGTCTTGTTCCTTGTTTTCTCCCTTTTCCGATGTTTATCTCATTTGCCTTTCTGAATGAAGAGTGAGCATCTTATACAGGGTCCTCCTTCTTGCTTAGCTTCTAAGTTTTTTTTTTTTCCAACTTAAATTATTTCCCTAGTGTTATGTATTAGCAGCAACAGGCAAGCTTTGACAAGGTTCAATATCTGGCCACGGAACAGAATGTAACTAAAGCTCCTAACAATATGGTCCCAGTGAACACATTCAAGGCCCTTCTACAACCAAACTAGTGTAAATAGCTATAAATGGGTTTAAAATAAACATTAAGTAATGTTGGTCCGAAGGGCTATGGCACCAAGGAGATAATCATGGTTTGTTTCCACTGCCTATATAAAGTTTCCCATTATATGAAAATAGAGCAGCAAAGCTAATGGATATATAATGACAGATATTCATGAAGATCATTAAATATTTGTCTTTCTGTGTTATATGAAATCCCTATTACTTAGCCAACTAGTTAAGCATAGAAATTTCTAATAATAAGAATCTGAGAGAATTTTAAATTAATTAAATCAATGGGAATCCCATTAAAGTTAGATACAAATTTACATAAGACAAAAAACAACCATAGATGTTTATGTGTGTGTTTTATTCCACTTCACCTACCATTCTGTAAAAGTGAGCAGGGCTGTCTTACTGTGTCAAGGGAGGAAAGGGAAGATGGCACATTGGAACACAGCCAGTTGACAGTGCGGCTCAGGTACTGTCTAGCAGGCATATATAAACTGAAGGTGAAAAATGGAAAAGGGTAACTTCTCTGCATTTGCAAGAGACCTTAATAGTTGAGCTGCAAGTCTGGATATGAATTCCAACATCCTACAAACTCTCTTGATTCCTTTTGACCTGATTCCTGATCTGTAAAATGGAAGACACACACCAATGAACGGCCCCCATGAAAATAACCACACTCACAAAACAGAAAGCTTTACAAAATGTGAACTGCAGGCTGCTGCCATTCTGTGAGCTGTGCCCATGTGTCCATGGTACATGGGAGCAAGCATTAGATACTTTTATAACAATTATATGGAATATTATTTGGTATACTGAATCGAAATTTGTAGATATTTGCTTTGGGAAGGTCTTTTTATTTTTCAGTAATTTATATGGAAATGTGTGCCCTGCATATAAATGTTTGGAAGCATCATAAGAGGTTGAACTAAGGGTTCAGAATCTGCTGTTTGGCTAGCACAATACAAGGAAGACTTATGGCAAGTATTTTCCTCAGACATATACATCCAGATGGTTGCTTCCCATGAACAGCACTCTTCACGTCATTGCTGACCAGTCGTGTTTTCATTTTTATTTTAGTGCTGGGAAGCGAACCTAGAGCCTTGTGCATGGCCAATCCAAGTCATTTAAAATATAACTAAGAAGGTGGCTTTGAAAACCAAGTACTATGGTTAAAAACAGAAGGCAGAAAAGATTCTTCCTTGCCACTCACTTGCTTTACCACCAAATAGTGGTCAAGACAGTAAAACAACATGATACTAATGTAGAATGCATGCCTACTAGGGCCACTGCCCAATGAATTAAAATAAATTAAAATTAAATCATTAAAATAAAAAAGAAACCCTAATATAATACCCTAA